GGCGGGCCCGGCCCGGCGTGTGCGGCCCGGCGCACTGGGGCTACGTGCTGGGCGGCCGGGGCCGCGGGCACGACGAGTACGAGAAGCGCTACAGCGGCGCCTTCCCGCCGCAGCTGCGCGCCCAGATGCGCGACCTGGCGCGGGGTATGTTCGTCTTCGGCTACGACAACTACATGGCGCACGCCTTTCCCCAGGACGAGCTCAACCCCATCCACTGCCGCGGCCGGGGGCCCGACCGCGGGGACCCGTGAGTAGCCGACGCCCCGGGCCGCGCCCCACGCGCCGTCCTCGGTCCTCCGGGTCCCCAAGGGACGCTGGAACGTTTAGGGTCCCGGGGCCAGCGCCCGCCCGCCTCGAGCCTTGGCCGACCCCCTTTGAGGTTCCCCCGGGCCTGGGGGTGCGTGGATGGGCCGGTGGCTGTCCTCCTTCCTGATTCTCCGGGAATCTCTGAACTATGGGACAGCCGTCCAGCGCAATCTCCTTTACAGATGGGGAAACTGAGGCCCAGAGACCGGAAGGGACAGTGGCGGTACTACGGGGTGGCTTGGGGGGCTTTAGACTCCATCTCCAACTCCTCCTCAGATGAACATATAATCAAAATGAAATCCTTTGTAAACGTAGCTTCAAAACAAGCCCTTATCTTCACCCCCCCCACCCCCCAAGGCTTTTCTATATATAAATATCAGATTCAGGAGTTGGTCCCGGGCAGGGACTTCTCCAGAGCCATCCAGTGAGTTTGAGGCGGAGCGGGGCTACAATCTTTCTCCTTCATCGCAGGGGCTGCTTCTTAGGCTGAGGATAGTTAGGTAGGAGGGAGAGAGGCTGTCTGGCCCGGATTTGGGGTCCTGATACTCAGAGTGGGATTCCTTGGCTGCTGCACTGACTGTCAGCATCATTGCCCTGTACCATCTGCTCCATAAATGCTGCCGCCCCCCCACCCCCGGCTCTGGTGGCTGGGCCGTCAGGGAAGGTCGGCCAGGTCTTCCGCTTCCACCAGCCTTGTTTGCAGAGGCAGAGCTTCAAGAGTTACTGCTGTTGACATCAGAGTCCAAGAGGTCAGCACGCCCAGCTGAGGACCTCCCAGCTGGAGGGAAGGGTGTGCCGACCCTGTTAGGGGGGATAGGTGACTATCTTCTTCCAGGTCCCTCCCCTTAGGTGGCATTGGAGGAGTTGGGCTGCTCACTGCCTTGGCACCACACCCTATGGGTGCCTTGGGACATTTGGGGCACCTGGTGAAAAGCAGCAGAGTCCAATCCTGAGGTTCTAAAGAGGAAGCCCATACCTAACAGGCTTGAGGAGTTTTGAAGATGGTTTGGTTATCTACAAATTCACGTCTTAAATTGCAGTTTGAGAGCATGAGTTTTAGTGAAGCAAGGGCAGATGCCAGGCAAACTTCAAAGGACTTTAGAAAGGACAGCTTCTAAAATTGTAGGAAGCTGAGTTAATTTTCTTTTTCACCATATCAGGCTTTATACATGTAAATGTATTTTCTATCTCAATTTTCTTTTAGAAAAAATTTTATTAAACTTTGAAAAAAAGTATTGGGCCTTTCCAGATATAGGAAATTAATGAGTTATTTGTCTTGCTTAACTTATCGGAATTTATACTTATGTATTTTCTTTCAATTTCAATTTTTTGGGGAGAAAAAACATTAAAATTTGAAAAAAAAAAAGCCTAAAATCCTGCCAGACAGTTATTTTTATTTTATCTTTCCTGCCAGCTCATGCCCTTATGCCTACACATTTTTTACATAGTTGAAATCAAAGTGTGTGTACATATTTTGGATCTTAATTGTATTTTCTCACTAATGCTCATGGTATTACAAGAAGGGAAGGAACTCTTTTAGTAAGTGCCCTTCCTTATTCGGTCTCACAGACTTTTTTCTCAGATTTCCTTTTATGGTGTGGACCTAAGGAAAACAGTTTAATGAGAACTTGTGATAACACTTTCATTGGGGAATATGACGATCTGGAGAGTGAGTCGGTGACATTTTAATGCTTTTCTTAATGAACCTTAAGAACCTTCTGGAGAGTAGCACTTCTCTCCTGCAAGGTGAGGTGGCGGTTGATTAGCTGGCTGGTCTGGTGGTAGTTCCACGTGGCGCAGGCCTCTGTTTCGGGATGAAGTCTGCTGACGAGGGTTTCGATTTGGTGTACAGTGACAGTCTGGGTAAGTCGAGGTCAGGTTGCTTTCAGACAGCTATGTTGCTGTTGGAAAGATGGAGTTAGAAATATTGAGGGGGTGGCCTTTGGGAAGGGTTGTACCCAGAGATTAATAAACCTTTGAGTTGGTAAACTTTCAGGTCTTCGAGGAGGTGAGAGAGCTCTGGGGTTATGGGGGCCTTGAGTAGATCCTCACACTGGCCACTGACAAAGAGTAGAAAGGTCAATTTTTCATACTCTCCTACCTTTAACCCCTCTCAAACTTAGTATTTTCAGGGAAAGTTTAGAACCAAAGCTTTGTCATTCTGGCTCTGAAACAAAAGGACACATTTTCATCCTCAAAATAAATAACCTGTAATAAAAATCTTTCAGATTTTTTTTTATCAAACATAGTCTAATGATTGTTGTCAAGTGTATTCCAATGATTTGTTTTAAAAAATGGAGTGAAGTAGTCATAAGGATATTCTATAAAAAGTACAGAAACAAAATGTGGGTGCTAAACATGAGTATCTTTTCTTTAAGCCTCTGTTTACTTGAGGCTTATCTTGCTTGTCTTGTTTGACTGGAGGTAGGGTGAGGAGTTAACATAGAGTAAATAAAACCTGAACACTTTAAAAATAGCAAATCTTTCTGCCCAGCTTTAGATTCCTATGCAAAGTCAGTTCCTCTTACATCCCCAATTTGGGTTGGAGGTTCCAAAATTAGAAGTTTCTTTAAGTAAATTTGGATATTGTATTTTTGCAATCTTGTGAATAATAACTATAGTTAGGCCTTGAGCACATGAACCTTGCTTTCTCCCCAGCCAAATCGCTATTCAGACCAAAAAAGCAAATCTCAAGTTAACAAACCAAACAAATATTAACTCCCCCCAAACCAACTCATTCCTAGGCACCGCTAGCTTAAGGTGGCCTCGTCTGCATTCCTTTTTCTTTCTAAAGTCCTGTTCTCCTTCAGAATCAGGTTCAAGTCCTTCTGTAGGATGCTGTTAAACTGTTTGAAGATAATTTTCCTTGATTTACTCAGTTTTTCTCGTTCCTTTTCTTTGAGCTGCTCTTCTGCATTTTAACATCATTTGAGCATTGAGTTCTGTTATATAATCATCTTCTTATCCCTTCATCTTGTCTCCCCGGATTGTCAATCCCTTGAACATAGGGACTGTTTCTTATGTTATCTGTGTGCCTACACAGCACCAGGTAGATTTCTGAACAGCTGTTACGGGTTAAGTATATGTGGGAATTTTTTTTTTACACGTGTATTTGATTTTGTTAGCTACATAATCAAAACTTCTCTTTCAGAGGCCATTGTTTTCTCTATCTTCTCTGTTTTTGGGGTGATAAGAAGTTTGAAAATTCAGTGGGGTGAATGTCATGAACAGTCCCACATGGTAGATTAAGTGGAGAGTTTAATTCTGGGTCCTCGAGGTTCAGCTAGCTGGTTATGTGAAAGATGTGCACTTTTGAGTCTAGCCTTGTGCAGGAGGATTGAGTTCTTGGCTGGAGGCACTTAGAAGGTATCAAATCAGACTGGCCATCAATCAAGAATATCCACAAAGAACCAATCCACAGTCTTACCTCCTCAGTGGGCTGGCATAATGGAGTCATGAAAACTTGGTGCTGTCAGGCCAGGAGGATTTTATGGAGTCTACTTCTTCCTTCATTCCCCTCCTTCTCTTTCTTTTTTTCTATACTGGCATATTTTGAAAGAGTGTATAGTAATTAATTGGTAGAAAAGAACTGGAAGTGTTTTAATGAACACCTTAGATATTTGAGTGGATTTGTCTGAGTAGAGTAGAGAGAAGGAACCACCCCCATAATTGCAAATACATTTTGCAATTTGCAAGGCAAGTCTTATAGTTGTTAATTATTAATGACTGCTTGGGCATTGTATTGAGAAGTATTTTAAAACTAGGTCCATTTTAGTCATTAGCCTACAAGGAAAAGCACAATAAAACATGGGAAGGAGTGCAGTGATCAGAATTAGTAACGCCTTCCATGGGCCTGTGCATGTGGAGGGGTGATGGAAGCCGTAGATTCCGGTGTAACTCAGGACAGAGTGGTTACGAGTGGTTCACTCACCACGTATCTAGCTTGGCTTCTAAAGGATGAGGCAAGCATTTTCTGGTGAGGTGGGTTGTTGGAGCCCACTCTGTTTCTGAGCAGCAGAGCAATGAAGTTAAATATGTAAGCGCAACAGAATATTCTTGGGTTGGCAGAATTGAGCACGAGGATCTCCCTGTCTACTTTGACCTTCTCTTTCAACTATGACACTTCCTAGGTCCTTTCTGGCTGGCATTGCCCTTGAAGTGCTTATTTTAATCCACAGCTCTTGTCTTTAGGGGACCTTTTGCAATTATATAAATTTGTCTAGAAAGAATCAACAAATCCAAGAAGCGGGTGCGGTTTTGCAGCTGTGCCATTTGCTGGCTTCGTGACTTGTGAGAGACGAGTTAGCCCTGGTTCCTAGATAACCCCTTCTCAACAGTTTGACTTAAAAAATGTATCTAAAATTTTGCTATAAATTCTTTGTCCTAGATTAAGTGACATAACACATCATAAACAAAGCAACTGGAAGGTTCAAATAAGATCAGATTTGAAGTGTTGAAGCTGTTTATGCCTACATGATGTAAGGCCCATTTCACTCCAGCTGAGGCACATAGGAGGCCGTTCAGGGAGCATAGCCAGCTGTGGAGAATACGGAGATGCTGCCCACAGGCAAGTGAGACAAGGATCTGTGAGAGGGACCCAAGGAGGAAAGAAAGGGGTCCTGGGATTTGATGGAACATGTCAGAATATTCAGGGAATCTGGCAGAAGATAAAACCAGGACTTTTTCACTCTGGTCTTTAATAAACATAATCTTTAAACAGTCTTCTTTGTTCTCCCCTTACTATCATCTTTTCCAAGCCTCCATGGTTGCTTTCTGGGTTGCTGGGACGAGGACAGAGGAGTAACTGAACTGCCCAGAATTTCTCAAGCTGCACTTGGTCGCTCTCACTATTTCTCCATCCCTGCCCTTCCAGATGTGTTAGTTGTCGTTGCCGTCATTTTCAGTGTTACTAAGAATGCTCAGAGTGGCTGAGGAGCTTTACCCTCCTTGCCGGCCTGAGGCTGGCATCTCGAGCTTGTTTCAGACGGGAAATTGGTGCTGATTACGGGGCAGGAGGTGTGTGCAGAAATGTTTACGCAGCCCAAGTTCAGAGAAGTCCTGCCTTGGTTCATGTTAAGAAAACATCTCCTTAGAATTGATGGGGATTCTTTGGGTGAGATGTAAGTGAAAAAATGGTATAAGGAAGTTATTTTATTCCCCCACCCAAAGGACAGATGCATGATGTTGAGATTTTAGCTGAAAGTATTTGCATCTTTCTGTGTGTAATTGCTTGAGTGTCTGATTTCTGTGTTAAATCAAGTATTATAGGCTGGTCATATGACAGGTCCCCTCCTTTTTCATTCTTAGTGATTTTGAAATCAGAGCTTTTTGAAACTGGACTGAGAGATCATTTTTGGTGATAAAACTCGTATCTCAGAGGGCAAATGACTCTTGTTCACTGTCTCCTGACTTCCTGTTCCGTGTTCTTTCCACCATAGTGTAAGTGTGTCTGCGGTTCTGTGACTCAATTCTGCTAGTAGACACTATAGAAACTGTCAGTTGTGAGAGAGAGAGAGAGAGAGACCTTTGCCATACTGGTCCGCCCACAATGGTCCCTGCATAAATGAGAGTTGCCAGTAATTTTAGTTTCTGATGGGTGTTTAGTTTTATTGTCTTTTTTCTCTTTTATACCTTTGTTTAATTTTAATTTTATTTCTTTTTCAGTTCAAATCTGAACATCAATGATGTCCTAGGGAACTATTCATTGACTCTTGTTGATGCATTGGATACACTTGCAGTAAGTGTTCAGCCTTATTATAATTATTTTTTAATTAGTTAAGATATTTTGGAATTAATTACCCCTACTTTTCCCCAGGGATGGGAATGCCAGGAAACCCAATACTCAAAATGTATTTATAGCTTTGATAGCTATTGTTGATTTTAATGACCTTAATGTGGAGAGCAAGAGAAGCATGAAGGTTAAATGAGGGGAAACGTGATTACTGTAAAAACATGGAGAAGAAAGTATGATTGTTTTTAGGGAACCTGTTTTTCTCCCCGTTTCCCACTATTTTATTCCCTGCAGGAATCCATAGAGAATTCCATTAAAGTTTACAGTTACTGTAGTTAAGATTTCAGGAGTAAAAGACAAGATGTCAGGATTGCTAGGTCCCCTGAAATATCATCCAGCTACTGGCTCCCCAAGAGTGTTTCTGAGCCCCGTCCCAGACCCTGTGCAGGGACCCTATCCGTAAGCACTCCTCTTTTATTTGCTACTCTGTGTTTTGTGGACACTCCACACCTGGGCTGCCAACTCAGGTGCTGCCTTTATCTCCGCATCCTGTGGTTTCCCTCATTGACTCTGGGGAACTGGAGACCCTTGAACAGATTTGCAGAAGCACATTGAAAGCAAGAAGGCGCTGTGGGCTGGTACTTATTATCAGACTGAGCTGTGTGCTCGGTTGACTTCATGACCTTTCGCTATAGAATACAGCTCCCACGGGACTGGATTCCAGCATAGCGTTGTTTTAAAAATCTCCTTAGTAAGGGTGATCTTACAACCTCTTTGCTCGTCTTCATTGTCCAGTAAGCCTTTACCGTTAGAAAATTCTTACTGTAGTCTAGCCCAAATCCTGTAGTTAATAATTTAGTCTTGTTTCTTGTAACTTTCCTTAGAAGAGTTTAAAGCTGTCAGGAGTTAGAACTGGTTAATGCTAGCTAAGTTTGCATTACAACTGTCCAGTGTCTTGCTAGTGGTAGAATTACTAGAACTTGAAGACAGCTTGAGAGATCATTCTACATTCTCCTGGGCCCATGGTCTAATGGGAAATCTGGGATTTCATTCTGCCAGGCTGTAGTTGCAAAGCAATTTAGTCTCCCAATATCTCCTTCTGAAGTTATTGCTGCTCCCCTTCAGTCACCTGCCATCATGGATCACAATGTGCCCAGGCAAGTAGGTTCAACCTAATTAGAGTTAATGTGTTGAAGATACCAGAGGCTGACTCAGCCTTAAAGTGTTGCTTAAAAAAAAAGTCCTAAAACTCATATATAGCTTATGAAAGCTCACTTCTTCACCCTGAGGTCTCCTTTTTTGCCCTGTTGTGTCTTTTTATCCCCCTGTCATGCTTGTTAAGTACAGAGACCTTATCTCTATTATTTACTACGCTCTCTCCACACCTAATGGTCTCTGGTACATAGTAGGAGTGCAAATAATACGTTCAAAAATGAATTTCTACTAATCCAGCATTTCCCAACGTGTATTCCAAGGGTATACCCCTGAAAGAATAATTCTGTTCCCAAATGAACTTGAGAAATTCTGCATGTCTGTCCCGCTATCAGAGAGCTGCAATGCACAGCAGCGTTTTAAAGGCACTGAGATGTCATGCAGTAAAGAAACCTATTTAACTCTTCTGTCCAATTCGGCTTTTCTTAAGCTTAAGTGCATTATTTCATAGCCTGGTTACTCTGTTCTGTAGCTATCTGACTAAAATGGTAATGTACAATATGTAATTGAAAGTTGCTGGCTTCCTTCACCGTCCTCCACTTGGTCTGAGATTGTATCAGCATCTGCACCTGCTAACAGATATTGTTGCTGGTAAACATCTGTAAGGAAATAAACCTATCTCTGTGGTTTTCACTGTAGAATATCCGGCCTTTCATGTGTTAGCACTTCAGGCTTATTTTTCAGGTGCTACTTCTGTTGAGGTTTTCCTTTTCTTTTGCTAACATTTTAAACAGGCTCTAACAGATGTGCTGTGGAAACACGTGGAAGATGGCAGTCCCCTGAGCATTGGATGCAACTTGCAGCATTGTTGCATAATCTTTTAAAAAGGAAAGAACTGAAAGCCAGAAAAGAAACGTCTGTACTCGCTCTCTGTGTGTTACAGCAAAATAACAAGAAGGAGGGGAAAAAAAGATGCACTAGACCAATAAATATTAGGAAGTAAGACATACTTGAAAGAAGCAGTGTCTGGATGAAATTATTTGTTTTTACTTGTTTTTGTGTGTGTGTCCTTATGATGTTGTTATAGTCGCAGGATTGTCATAAAATTTTGAACAGAATGAAAGCTTTTCAATGCAGGTTAATCTATAAAATGTTATGCCCAATTTGCACTTCATAAAGGAGAGAGCAGCTTGGTATGAAATCATATCCACATACCCAAAATAGGAATCGTAATTTTAGATCACTTTTTAAAAAGGACATAGAGCTAATACTTGGATATTTTGTTTGTTTGAAGTCACTGGTTATGTGGATCCAAAAGATAACGTTACTATTTTTCAAAGTGTTTAGACATCTGGGTAACAAGCAACAAGTCAGTTTTCCAGATGTTTTGGTCTCCTGGGAGCCAAGCACCCATGCTGTCAATTATTTGAGGAGCAGAGGGAAAGTCATATTTTTGTTTCTTCAGTTTTGGTATTTATTTTTACTCATTTTAGGAATTTTAGGAACTATAATACCTTGCATGCTAAATAAGATCAGACTGAAGTTTGAGGGAGAGTGGGAAGATGAGGGATGCTAATGATTTTATGAGGAATTATTTTCACAGTTTTGCCATTTGGAGATATGATTCTTGAGTCGGAGGAAATGAGCTTCCCATCTGTCCCGAAATATATTCTAAGAGATAACTGTGCTTTTCTACCTTTTGTTTCTACTCCCACGGGTGGCAAAACCACACATACAGACATTTAGATGAAGTGGCCCAGCTCCTGCGATCATGTAGCCTCAGTTTCATTTCAAGCTGTTGTAATGGTTTGTGTTCCTCTTTTTAAAGATAATGGGAAATTCATCCGAGTTCCAGAAAGCAGTCAAGTTAGTGATCAACACAGTTTCATTTGACAGAGATTCCACCGTCCAAGTCTTTGAGGCCACAATAAGGTAAAATAGTGCATAAAGTGGATTGAAGGCTTCTTTTGTGTGTGTAGGGAGAAAAACCCCTGTGAGGGTCTGTCAGCTGCGAGATCCAGATAGAGAGTCCCTGTGGACCTTGTGGGCGCAGTGTCCATTTTTCATCTCTGTTTTTGGATTTATCAAAACTGGTACAATTGACATTTCAAAGGAGTTAAAGTTTTGGACTGAACAATAAGACACACTTGAAGGTGAATGAAGGTGTAAGATAGGGCTCCCTTTAATGCAGTTTTTCACGGTTTTGCTTTGTGTCTGGTCTCATTTGCTTCCTTCAGTGTGTCCTAGGAAAACCCCTACATATTTCTGAAGGAAATGAAAGTTTCCCATCTCACTTACCACCCACAGAAGACCACTTCTTACCGTTTGGGTATATTTCCTCCTTATGTGTGTGTGTCTGTGTCTCTCTTTCCCTCCGCATCTCCTTCCTTCTCCCCCTTGCTTCTGCTCTCCCCACCCCCAATGTATTGGGCTCATGTTTCATACCCAGTTTTGTATCCTGCCTTTTTTAGCTTGATATACAGTAATTCCCCCTTATCTGCGGGGGATACTTCCGAGACCTCCTGTGGATGCCTAAAACTGTGGATAGTACTGAACCCTATGTATACTGTATTTTTTCCTACGCATACATACCTATGATAAAGTTAAATTTATAGATTAGGCACGGTAAGAGATTAACAACAATAACTAACAATAAAATAGAACAATTATAACAATATACTGTAATAAGAGTTACCATAGATCTTAGCAACCTCAGCATACAATTTTTTTTCTTGCCTTATTAAGTAGAGAACTTTCACTTTTTACTTAAAGGAAGCATTTTAAGGCTTCTCTTTGGCATATCAGAATTGCCAGCATCATTACTCTCTCACTTTGGGGCCATTATTAAGTAAAATAAGTGTTACTTGAACACAAGCACTGCAATACTGAGACAGTGGATCTGATAACCCAGACGGCTACTAAGTGACTAATGGGCAGGTAGCATGTACAGCATGGATCCTTTGGACAAAGGGGTGATTCTCGCCCCGGGCAGGATGGAGTGGGATGGCACAAGATTTCATCACACTACTCAGAATGGCGTGCAGTTTAAAACTGATGAATTGTATATTTCTGGAATTTTCCATGTGATATTTTCAGACCGTGGTTGACTGTGGGTAACTGAAACTGCAGAAAGTGAGTGAAACTGCAGATAAGGGGGATGACTGTATTGTGTCTATTTTCCTATTTCATTTAAACTTTTTGAAAATTGTATTACTGCGTAACATTCCAGATGTAATATTTATTAAAATTATGAAATTAAAGTTATGAAAACATATGTTCTGAAAAATGTCACAATCCACTTCAGATCATTGGAGTGGGACATGAATTCATGGCTCATCAGGGACATAAATGTAAGCTGGTGCCTCCTACCTCTGAGTAGGTCCTTTTTTCCTCATCTCCTCCTCCTCACCTTTCCTTTTTACCAGAGGTTAGAGAATTTCATCAGTTGCTTGGCAGCCAAAACTACAAAAATTACTTAGTATTTGTTGTCTTGCCCTTTTCTGTTTCTTATATGGCTAAGTTTTTTCCCCAAGTGAGAGAAATCAAGAGTAATCTATTAATACAAAAAGGTAATATTTATTCTGAGAATGATTAGTACACTCACTTCTGATGAGATTATTGAGATTACCAAACATTAGTTATTACTTTAAGTGGGATTATTCTCAGTAGCCTCTGATGAATGGCTCCCTTTCTTCCTTTCAGTAATGTGGTTGACATAAGGATCGATCATTTATTATTAGGGCTGGAAAGAACTTCAAGAAGCCAGTAAGTCCATTCCCTCTGATTCCAGGCAGCTCTGAGTCCATAAGGAATTCCAGACTGCTTCTGTCATTCTGAACTGGATTGTATGCATTTACAATTGATAGGATTTTATTTATTTTTTTGTTCTTCCTCTCATTAGGGTCCTAGGAAGCCTCCTTTCTGCCCACAGAATAATAACTGACTCCAAGCAGCCCTTTGGTGACATGACAATTAAGGATTATGATAATGAATTGTTGCACATGGCTCATGACCTGGCCGTACGGCTCCTCCCTGCCTTTGAAAACACCAAGACAGGGATCCCCTATCCTCGGGTAGGTAGACTGGTTTGACAGTTCACTGTCTTCCTGAGTTAAAACTCTTTGTTGATTAATTTATTTGGGGGAAGGAGTGGGGCTGATATGGAAGAGGAAAGACATGTCCTTGAGAGAATTTGGCCCTAAAATATGATGTAAATATTTTTTAATTCATTCAACATTTACTGAGCACCTACTGTATGCCAGGCACATGGTGACATGTCCGATTTAATCCTTCTCCTTAAGGAAGAAGTTATGTTCCTGTGCTCACTATTCTTAAGTCCTTTTAAACGTGGAATTTATATCCCCTGCTACAAAATAGCGTGGGGAATTTGTCTTCATTTCTTTTTTTTTTTTTTTTTAAAGATTTTATTTATTTATTTTTTCCCCCCAAAGCCCCAGTAGATAGTTGTGTGTCATAGCTGCACATCCTTCTAGTTGCTGTATGTGGGACGCGGCCTCAGCATGGCCGGAGAAGCAGCGCGTCGGTGCGAGCCCGGGATCCGAACCCGGGTCGCCAGCAGTGGAGCGCGCTCACTTAACCACCAAGCCACAGGGCCGGCCCTGTCTTCATTTCTAATGTGGGCACATTTCCCCAAAGACCCTCACATGTATAATGTAGGAGCTCAGTGAATGTTCTTTTGAATGCTTCACATGGATCTTTCAAATAAAGCCGGCACAGACCAACAAGTTAGCTGCTGATTTAAATGCAAGATCTGGAATAAGATTGTGTCTTTGTGGCGTCTGATTTGCTGAGCCCAGAATGCCTCTGGGAGTTGAGTAAGCCTTTTGAGGTAACTAGCAGAGAATCACCAGACCACAGAGCCTAAGTGATGAAACAGGCTGTCATGTTCTCACTGTGTCTCCTTTCTCCCCCAGTCTGAGATTTGTTTACATTCACTGAGCAGGAGTGAGTTCACAGGAGCTCACTAAAATCTATAAGTGATTCCACAGCTGGTCTTTGTCTCTAATGCCACAGCCTGGTGTGTGTAACCGTGAAGAGAACCTGCGGGAAAGAGATGGATTAGTGAATAGCATTATAATGATTCTCCTAAGACTTGCTCTTATTAATAAAACAAGGCTGTGGTGTTCTGATTGTCTTGTCTGTGTCTTTGAAACTTAACTCCCATCTTCATCTTGGATATAAAGTGGAAGGCAGTGAGCTGACTCACTGTGGTGAGCTTATTCATTAGTGGAATATAGTAGCTGTGACCTTGCCTGCTAGCCCTGTGGGTTCCTTGAGTTTTACTGTGAATCTTTTATCTCTTTGTGTCCTCAGGTGAATCTAAAGACAGGCGTTCCTCCTGACAGCAATAATGAGACATGCACGGCAGGGGCTGGCTCCCTCCTGGTGGAATTCGGGATTCTGAGCCGACTGCTTGGTGATTCCACGTTTGAGTGGGTGGCCAGACGAGCAGTGAAAGCCCTTTGGAACCTCAGGAGCAATGATACAGGATTATTAGGTGTGGTGGCACCTTCTCGCACCATCAGGACTGTATACGTTTGGTGCCTTCTCCTTTCATCTTCTCTGGGTCTCTCCCTCCTCTCCACTCTTTCTTTCTTGTACAGTTAAATCTAAAAATTGACAACTCAGAATGGCCCTTAGTGTCTGCCATATCCAATTTCTTTTTATGTGACTTTTTGCTTAGAGTGAGGCTATAAGGTTTGATGGGAAAGAATAATGCTTTTGCTGTTTGAGGGCTCCCTTCTGATTTGAATCCCTTGGCATATTCCACTTGAAGATAATTGTTAATGGAAATGCTATAAAAAGAACTGCCTCTGAGGCAGATTATATTTGCTTCAATATAAGGTTCTAAATATAGGAATTTAGAGTTACTGGTAGGGTGGCTTTCTCCTTTTAAAAAGGCATGTGGTAGTAGATTGAAAGCCCAGATTAAACCTGTATTAGGTGGGGTGTTTTTTTTCCCTTGAGAATATTTGGTCAAGATGTTATTATGATTATTTTTTTAAAATTTTTTGTTTATTGCAGTAACATTGGTTTATAACATTGTATAAATTTCAAGTGTATATCATTATACTTCTGTTTCTGCATGGATTACATTATGTTCTCATGTTCACCACCCAAATACTAATTACAATCCATCACCACACACATGTGCCAAATTATCCCTTTTGCCCTCCTCCCCCCACTCTTCCCCTCTGGTAACCACCAATCCAATCTCTGTCTCTATGTGTTTGTTTGTTGTTGTTATTATCTACTACTTAATGAGTGAGAGCATACGGTATTTGACCCTCTCCCTCTGACTTATTTCACTTTGCATAATACCCTCAGTGTCCATCCATGTTGTCACAAATGGCTGGATTTCATTGTTTCTTATGGCTGAGTAATATTCCATTGAGTATATATACCACATCTTTATCCATTCGTCCCTTGATGGGCACTTAGGTTGCTTCCAAGTCTTGGCTATTGTGAATAACGCTATAGTGAACACAGGGGTGCATGTATCTTTACACATTGGTGTTTTCAAGTTCTTTGGATAAATACCCAGCAGTGGAATAGCTGGATCGTATGGTAGTTCTATCCCTAATTTTTTGAGGAATCTCCATACTGTTTTCCATAGTGGCTGC